CCCCACATCCACCTCAAAATAAGCATGTGTCCCGAAAAGAGGAAGAGGATGGTGAATGAATGGGTGGATTTGTATAGGTTTTTCAGGAAACATGTGCAATACATGTGTCAATACACCTATGCATTCATTTTCCCTGTACACCTACTAGTTTATGTGGTGTTTTGTATTTCGAGTACATTGTCCTGTCAAAAATGGACCTCTTATTTACTTTAATGGAACAGTTAAACCATACTGCTTCTTCCAACATTCGTATTGACGTAGAAGGGGCAGATTCGTACAGCTTACGGTATTCAAGCAGCATGCCAACATAATATTCATTCATTCCAAATTTCAGAAGATCCTCTTTAGCATATCTACTCCTCAAAAGATCTTCAACATTATATCGACACCTTTTTTTAAACCCCACATCTGTTCTCCGGTGAATTTCCGGGAAGCACGAAAGATCTCTTTTTAGAAGTGTCCAATCGTCCGATCCTGATCAAATTTGTGTGTTCGTAAGCTTGCTCTGGCATTGCTTGATCTGCCAAGACAGACAAACTTGAAAAAAAATCGAGTGACTGTACCTTTTTTGAAGGTTTCTAAACAACTTGTCTGAACTTCACGGGAGAACAAATGTGGGGTTTAAAAAAAAGGTGTCGATATGGGTGGCACCTCGCCTTAAGCAGATGTGCCCACCTTGCATTGCCTTTTATCAAGCGTCTAATCCAGCTAATCTGCAAGCTTGCACACAAAGCCTGAACGTTAGGTGCGCCTAGTCCACCTTCGGCAACACCTTGACACAAAACTTTCATTTTAACTTTTGGTGGGCGACCACGCCACACGAACTTCATGATTAATGGTTGAATAGACTTGAGGTCCGTTTCAGGAATACTCAAACAGAAGATAATATATATATATATATATATATATATATATATATATATATATATATATATATATATATATATATATATATCAATTTAGAAATCAACAAGGTTTTGCACACTGTAATTTTTTGTTTCAAGCTTAGATCCCTTTGAGACCATCTATTCATTGTGCTTTGGATTCGGTTGAATATGGGATCAAGATTCTGTCTGACACAGCATTCAGAACTGCTAAACCATATTCCTAAAAATTTTACTTTGTCTGTCGACGGCATACCACAAATGCTTTCCCTTTTATGACGTTCCTTTCGTAGCCACATCAATTTAGACTTAGGTACTAACATTTAGTTCGAGTCCAGACACATCCCCGAATTCTTTTAGTTGCTCAACTAACACTTCTACAGAATTTTTATCCTCGATGAAGACCGTAGCATCGTCTGCGTATTGCGATATTTAACCCTCGCCCATGTAGGGGGGGGGGTTGGTGCAACCCCCCCCCCCTGAGGCTTTTCGGAAATAGTGCAAAAACGGCGGCGCGCAGCGCCGCCAAATTTTGGGTACCTTATGGGGCAAACCTTGCGCATCTTTTGATAAAAAAAAATTTGACCGGGTCATGTCAGGTCACGGAGTTATGACGTCACAAAGGGAACAGCCTCCGGCCGGATTTTCACAAACTGAGTGCCAACGCCCGAGGTTTCCTGCCGATGGTACGGACATCGGTTGATGGATCGTGATGAAACTTCCCATGCATGTTGGGGCAAGTATTGGCTATCATATGGTATAAGAAACTTGACCGGGTCAGGTCAGGTCACGGAGCTATGACGTCACAAGAGGAACAGCGTCCGGTACTATTTTTGAAAAGCGCCCGAACCACTATTTTGCTAATTCTTGTCACCTCAATGGGAATATGCAGCAATATTAGCTTATATAGGGAGCAAATGGACCTCCCAAATCCAAAAATACAATCAGATTTCAAAAATTTAAATTTTGGTTTTTCGAATTTCTGCCGCCGACTGTGACCTTGCCGACTTCCGGCGCTCCCAACGCGCCATTTTTAGAGCTAGGGAAACGAAATACATACCAAACGATAGAGAATTGATCCAGGAACACGATAGTGAAGGTTTCAAGTCGATATCTCCCACCGTTTTGCCGCAATCGCCGCCGAAAGTTGAAAAAAGTCTATTTTTCCGAAAATTTGACCTTTGACCGGTCAAAAGTAGGTCAAATGTTGACCTAGGACCAACAAATATACCACCAATCGCGAGATCTCGGCGAGAGCAATCCGTTGGTCTTTTCCGCTAAGCTCTACGACGCTCCGTTTTCAAACGCCAAGGGGGGGGGGGTCGCACCAACCCCCCCCCTGCATGGGCGAAGGTGGCAGATCGCCGTTTACGGGCGAGGGTTAAATCTCAAGGTTGTTAAAGGGACACTCCCACCTTAACATTAGTTTTGAGCTGAGATAGCCAAATTGGTGGCCATGGCCTGCAAATACCGGTTTGGGCACTCACAACATCGACAAATGCTTTAATTAGGAGATATGGAATTTCAAACTTGCAGTTTTCGGATTCTAAGGGGCTAGTGCATTGGTATGCCCCCTTAGAATTTGTGACGTCAGCGGAGATCTAACGATTTTTAAATCTTTTACTAAAACGTTTGGTAGCACGCGGTGGTATATGCTGCTTTGCGCGCAACAAATGCCGCACTTTCAAATAAAGTCGCTAGGAACAGCGGAGATCCCAAAAAGTAAACAAAAGTAAAAGTCTAATATCTTGAAAACCGGTGAATATTTTTCGATGAAATTTGGTAGATATTCGTTTTCGCTCTTTCTGAACCGAGCGACATCACTTTCGTGCCAATTCATTAACTTTTTTGAAGGTGGGAGGGTCCCTTTAATAGTTATCCCACGGATAGTTACCATCTGTTTGAGCTTGATGGCAAGGAGCTCTACAGCCAAATTGAAAAGCATGCCAGAGATCGGGCACCCCTGCATGATGCCTCGCTTGGGTTCAAACCATTCTGATGTGTATCCATTGTTGAGGATAGCTAGCTGATTACCGTTGTACGGCAACTTAACCTCAAATTAGGAACTTAATGACTCAAAGTTTTTCCCACGCAACCATAGACCCGGGAACAGGGGGGGGGGGCAGCGGGGGCGCTTGCCCCCCCCAACTTGAGAGCCGAGGGGGCGGCGCCCCCTCAACATTGATGCAACGAGAAAGGATCCTTTCTCCCTTTTCCGCACTTCTTTCCTACTTGTTTCCCTTATACATCTAAACATCAACATACGGCATTTTCCTTGCCATTTGAATGGTTTCTGCTGACACAGTAATATCGATTTGACAACATCTGCTATTGTCAGCCCCGCTTTGGTTTGGGCCTGACCTTGGCCATAAGTTTGGAAGGCCAGATTTTATATTGGACCATTTTGAGTCAACTTGGAGAAATACATAACGTGCACCCTCAGAATCACTGGCGTAGGGCACTCAGAGCCGCCAGTAAGGGGCCTTTAGAGGCACTGGTGTGGGGCCGTCATACAGGTGCCGGTGTGGCCGTGGGCGCTCAGAGGTGCTAATGTGATTCTCTCAGAGGTGCCGGTGAGGGCCCTTACAGGCGTTGCTGTGGGCCCTCATAGACGCTGGTGTGGAGCCGTTACAGACGGGTGTGGGGCCTTTAGAGCTGATGACGCAAACCCTTTACAAGCCGGCAGGGGGTTCTCAGAGAACGGCAAGGAGCCCTTACCCCTCAGGCCGTCAGAAGAAGTCCTGTGGGGTCCTTAGAGACCGGCATGGTACTGTCAGACGCCGGTGGGCGGTGGGGCCCTCAGAGTAACCGGTGTGGGGCCCTCAAAAGTCACCATTGGGTGACCTTTAGCTGCGCAGGTGTTGGGTCCTAAGCCGATATAGGGCTTTAATAGGCACTGGTGTAGGCACTCAGAGTTGGGGGGGGTGAAACCCTCAGAGACACTGGTGTGGGCCCTCATAGGCAAGATTACTTTACTACTCATAGGTGCCGTCTGTGCCGATGAGGGCCCCCACAGTTGCCCTTATGGGGCCCTTAGAAAAGTAAGTGTAGGATCGTCACAGGCGGGAAATGCCCCTAGAACTGGCCCCTCATAGGCCGGTAAGAACTCTCAGAGGCCAGTATATGGGCCTTTGGAGACCACGAGAGGCCCTTAAAAGCCGCAAGAGGCCCTTATGGAGATCTTAGTGTGGCTATTTGGGGGCCTATGAGGTGTTCTAACGAGCCCCATGGGGCCCTTCTGAGTCGAAATATGGCCATCGTTAACCCTCAGCGGTCAAATGGCGCCGCAGGGCCCCTCAGACCCGATGGTCCCCTGGAAGCCGGTGGGGGGTGGGGGTACGTGTCCCCTTGGGCCCCTAGCTACGCCACTGTTTCATATGTATCATGTCAGGCATTTTAGGCTCGCCCCCTCAACTTGAAAATCGTTCCCGGGCCCCTGCACGCAACTGTCCCTTAGCACCCTGCTGTCCCTTAACACCCGATTTTACGGTATTACGTTTTATTTTTCCATAAATTGTACGCATCTTATCCATGTCCTCAGCAATTCACAGAAAATTCATTCAGACTCAGTGTTGTCAAAAAAGAAAAAAATTGAGAAGTTACGGTTTATTTTGCATGGAATACCCATATAACTTTTACTGAATCATCTTAAAAGTCTTCTGCCTAAATGCATGCCTTGAAATGGCATTATCATTGTCATTGTCTTTGGTTTTCTCTCAACTTATTGTCAGTGAATACCAGTTCAAAACCGGAGCTCTGTTTGGTCGCTGTTTTTATATCAGTGTGCTGTCTGTTTTCTCCATATAAGGAAGTTATTGCTGGAGCTTCTTGGCCTCTCATTGGTCTAACGAATAGATGACTTGAGTTCGACCAGTGAGGAGCCAAAAAGTAGCAGCATTCTCACAGCCTGCTGATAAAAAACTGTGACTGAACAGCGCCCTGTTTATACCGGCAACAGGCAAAAAATTGCATTTACCGTCCAAGTTTTTGTTTGCCGTAAAAAACACCGTCTTCCACTCCATGGACTCGGGAGAAGATGGCCTGCTCCCTGCGGACAGCACCCATGCACCAGTCCTATCTGAGGGTGCCCACCCGAGTCGCCAGGACAACTCTCACCCGAAGGATCTCCTTGAAGTGAACTGAGCAGGCTGAGAGGATGACTCTGTGCGCGCGCATCAGCCGGCCAGAGCAGGACAAAGTCACGTCGGTGAAGGACTCATCTCCGCGCAGCGCCTCCAGCGACAGGTGGAAGCTACTGTGGAAGTCATTCCAGCGCAGACAAAACTCCTGCTGCTCACTCATCTTCAACGTTGTCTGAAATTAAACCCAATGTTAATCAATTGGAGACAAAAAACCCTGCTGCTCATCCATCTTCCCAGTTTTATATCACATGAAACATCGGTAAGGTAAAAGTGCCAACCAAAGCTCTGACATGGAGTGCATCATGTATTTAAAATTTAAATTGAGCAAGTCTGCCAACCAGTTCAAGGCCCAGCTGGACAAGCATTAGAGGAAATCAGCCAATCAGCCAGAATCTTAGCCAATAGCAATTCAGCCAAACTTCACAACGATTTCCTCCTGTCGATCCAAGGCCAAGGCAGTATATTACAAGGCTATAGAACTCCTTTTCTCCTAGAATTCTGTGATTTTATCCAAGGCCGTATAAGAGATTCTCTCCTCGACCACCACCGAGTGCTGTTCACGGGCACCTGCGGTAGCTGCGGTAGCTGCGGCTCGGCGGTCAGCCGGGTAATGACGTCACAGAAAGTGGGGATGGGGCGGGTGGTGTGACGTCATACGGCTGCGGCCGGCTGCGGTCGCCTGCGTCTCCTGCGGTCGAAACGATCCGACCGCAGCGGCCGCAGGAACCATTTGTCATGCAAAGTGGCGCGGCAGTTGCGCATTCGTGTAACTTGGGCGGAAAATTGACACGGCCGCCTCAGACGAACGCGTGATGACGTACGCACAAGTGGGCGGGACTTACAGCCTGCGATCTACCGCAGCTGCGTATTTACAAATTGCAACCGAGCTCCGCCGTAGGGTATTTTATTTCCGCCGTAGTATATTTCAGTTGGGGTATTTTCTACCATACATTTGCCTGAGCTTGGGGTAATTACAATTTGTCGGCGACGTTAAAAAATGATGCACCTTTTTTCGCAGTATAGGTTATCGCATGTGCATATTTTTGCCTTTTTGGTTGCGCTTTTTCCTCGCCCGTATAGGGGGAGGCGTTGAGCGGACCCCATCGGTTTTTCGTGAGTAACTCGCGTAAAAACCGTCCGATCGCGACGAAACTTTCAATACCCCCGATTTTATCAATTTTACTCCTACCCTGAAAATTTCATGACCCTGACCCAAATGACCTTTGATTTGTGACCTATTTCTCGAGACCATGTTGGGCCCGAATCGCGATTCGGCGTATGTCGGCTCGCATTAGCCGCGCGTTTGCAGTCTTTACGTGGTTTCAAGCGTTGAAACATGTGATATGATGCTGGTCCCATGCATTAGGGTGGGTGTCACATGAAGGTCAGGTCAGCTCAATGACCTTTGATGACCTCGGTTCACTTTTTCGAGTTTAGCATGTTTCTAGGCTAGTTTTTGGAGCTGATTTCGAATTTAGCAACCATTTGAACATTACAGGGGGTGTAACGAAATTATCCGGACATCTTTCTTCCCGCTGTAATTAAAAAGCAAAACATTGTGGTACTTTTTATTTTGACTGAGCATGTAGCCACCTTTCATAAAAACACAGTGGCGAATGTTTTGGAGCATTTCAGCCAATGGATTCTCCAGCACACTGGTTTTGATGCGGACCAACGCCGTCTCAACCTGTGTCTGCGGTTGGGCGGTGCTTGTGGCGGGCGTCTCTTCAGTCACCTGCTGAACAAGAGCCCACAGGTTTTCGATTGAATTGGGATCGCGACTTTTTCCAAGTCATAAGCGTTAGCCCAGAATGATTGAAGGTTCTATCGGCATCACTTCCCGTTCTTTTAGGGACTTTTAAGTAGCGCGCCGCCCCGCATGAAGACAGCGAATCAGGCATCAGTGCGCGTTCAGAAACCGAGCCCTCCTATACCGTCTGGTTGAGCGCCTCCCACTATTCATTGGCCAGTATGTTTCTCCGGTAATACTTACGTTGATGGCGGTATTATGTGACACTATGTCCTATTGGAGGATCGCTAGGCAGCTGAACATGCTCCAGTTCTGGATATTGTCCGGATGTTTGACGGCGGCGAAGGCCAGCAAGTTCGAGCGGCTGGCCGCCCATACATGGCCGATTTGACGGTTCAAAGGATAATACAGCTCGAACGGCTACCCATCCAACCAGACCACCTCACCCTTATCATTCTTCAACCAGTGGACGCGATCTGGCGTGAGGCGAAAGGTGGTGAACTGGTTGTTTTCCCGTCAGTTTCGTTGTCTTTTTCAGTTTGAAGGGCACTAGAACCAAGTTAAAGGGCGGGTAGCGGTAAACCATGATATGGGATCTCTCATTATCTGACTTGGTAAGAATTCGAGTCAATTTGCGGATTGATTGGTGCCGTTTCCTTGCCGCTATCTTGATGACTCTCCTCACCATTTGACAAAGGGCGGCTTTTGTGGTCGCGACCGGGCTGAGTCTGCCACCGAAGTCCCAGCTTATTACACCTCAGGCAGATGTGCAATTGGCTGCTGCTGATGTCCAGCTGCTGGCAGACCAGCTTCTGGCTCATGCCGCCGTGGATGCCGCCATGCAATTTTACCACGAAAGGAGAGATTGTATCCCTTTCTCGCAACTGCCTTGGACGAAAACTACCATGTGAACCCGTCTGTGAATCGACTCCTACTCAGAGCAACAGTCACATGACAAGGTCAGGTCACTGCTGAGTTGAAAACCGATAGCAGAGGCACGTATTCATCCAATATTCCCACTTCTAACATCAGAAAGGATTAGAAAACTATGCAAACAGATATGGCGAAAAAATAGATGTCCGGAATCGGATAATTTCGTTACACCCTGTACTGAAGTAGTTTTAGTGCCTTCGTAACATGTTACGAAGCTGTCAGAGAAAAAATAGCGTTCTGCCCCTCCAACTTTTGCTTATTTGCAGAACTTCGTTGCTTAGCAAACCACTATGTTGTTCGCATTGAGGAGCTTTGAAATGTCTGTGTAACTCAAAATGTTAATTCTGTAATTAAAAGAATTGATTCAGTGTTGCCCATAATCTAACTTAACAACCGAACATTGCAGGTTTGACAGCTTTTTGCCCCACCAGCACCACCTTCCCTGGAAAAGCTCCACCCTTGCCTATGGGGCAAAACATAAGGGACAAAAACACAAAACAAGACAGATAAAAAACAAAACAAAATGAACTCATTACCTAATGAAGTTCAGTCTGGAGCAAAAACATAGGTAATAGGCATCTATGTCAAATTAGAATGAAAGATTAAAATCAACCTGACCAGGTCTTACGGTCTGACCTGATCCTAACCGCCTTACTTCACCTAACTTAACCCAATTCAACCTAACCTACCACAACACCTGCAGAGGTACCTTCCTGGAAAATGACGCCCAGGGAGGTGTCAAACTTATTGGAATATTACCATGATTGCTTGTCAAAATGTGTGTCATCATGCTCTTGTTTGACAAGTGATGTATAATAAATGTGACATTCAAAAATGGTCTCCTGACTGTTGAGTGATCAGAATATTCAAATAATCAGGGTACAATGCTGTGCATCATAGTGCACACTAATCATGTTGTTTTTGTGTAGGCCCTCTGCGCATTATTGTGTACACTGCCATGTGCACCTTAAGGAAAAAAAGTGACTGGCGGTACATGAAAAGGGTTGTGCAACTGTGAAGTTCATGCCCTTGGTCTTGCTGGAGTCAAATGGCTATAGCTATAGCAGGATCAGTGAGGGTTGTAGACATGCTACATGCACTGTGAATTGAAGATATTGGCACAAAGTTCATCCATAATTACTATGCTTAACACCTAATGTAAGAAGCAACATAAATGCCCAGATGATACAGCTCTCTGGTCAACATCACAGAAATTTATTGACATACTTTGCAGGTACATTTTTACATTCATAGCAAATACTTTTGATTTGATTCAATAACTAGGTGCTAGGTAAGCTTGCATTTTTGTAGGTACAACAATGAACATATATTTAATCATAAAAAACTTTCTCGTGGCATTCATCACATACCTTTTTACCGAACAAGTACCTATCTACCATGCAATGATTCTAAATTTTGTCCGCAATCCACCTATATCTCAACCGAGTAACTGACACATTGAAATTGAAATACCCTAACAAAACCTGGAACTGTACAAAAGAAGAATGCAATGCTACAAGAACTATGAAGTTCTGAAGTTATTCTCACATGCTGGAATGTTGAAACTCTACTTTTATCGTCCATTTCCACGTTTGATTGAGCCATCATATAGAACTGTTTTCGCTCTTCAGTCATAAGCTTTTGCACAAATCTTGAATTTTTACACATCATCTTGAACCATGCTCCAGTCTTTCCAACAAGGTACTATGGAACATCAAAGCAATTTTGATTTGTTACAACAGCTTCAGATCATGATAGGCTTGAAGTTTGTTACACCATTTGCCAGACAAAGCTCTACAAAATGTGTATCAATTCCCAAACCAAGCAATTGATTATATCAGTATTTGCAGTTTCCACACAATGTTTCATAATATTATTCGATTTTTATATCAAGAAACCCAAATAATCCACAAATTGCTATTGAAACACTCCCACTTCAAGAGTTCACAGCAATAACAATTCAAGTTCAGAAGCAAATAAACATTGCGCCAGATTTCGTATGAAACGCGCCATCATCCTGAAGTTTCTACCACAGACGGTAGTTCAACCGCAGCCGTAGTGCGAAAACCCCTGCCCACCTTACCCCACGGCGGAGCTCGGTTGCAATTTGTAAATACGCACCGCAGCTACCGCAGTTACCGCAGGTGTCCGTGAACAGCACTCCGGTTTAACTTCAGAGTTCAGGGGTAGCCAGTAACAGTTGGTAGCATTAGGCCAAATGGGCGCTCAAAAACTACTACCCCATAGGGTTTGCATGTTAAATCGACCTTTTTCAAGTGAGCCCCACACGTAAGCTAAAAGATAAATTGCCAATATTATTGTAGTGAAAGGTAGCCTAAAGCTTCCTCTACAACCTTTTTATCTAGCGTTTTTCGATGCGGAGGCCATAACAGGTCCAAAAAGCATTGGGCGCTGCCCGAGGTACCAAAAGCCCCTCCATGAGGGCACTAGTTCCTGCGCATGCGCACATTGCCTAAACCCTGTACTAGCGTAAGTTAGCGATACTGCTCACGGACTCGATCAGCCAATGAGCGTCTTCAATTACATTAATAGATGTCGCTAGCATCACGTAAATCCTGCTTGCGAACACATTTTAAGAATGAAACAGCTGCGCCATTTCCGCCTTCCATAGATTCCTTCCATCTTATTATCAACTATAGGCTTTTCAACTAACTTTATTCTAAGTTTTAAACGGTTTTAAACTATGGTTAGTATGTTATTTCTGGTTCATATAATTTAAAAATAACTGCTTTATGAATTTGGTTTTACTAGTCAGAATGGAATAATCTATTTATTCCATATTCAAAAAATA